AATCAGGTCATACCTCACCTTTAACGGGACATCCCAACAGGAAAGATGTTCAACACCAAGACTTCAAGAGGATTCCTAGGCTCGACTGGGGCAGGGGCAATCCAAGTCACTGATGGTCCAATACAGCTGCCGCTTCTTTGTGCTCAGAGCCCCCGCCACTGGTCCTGATGGCGGGCTTCGGGCGGGCTACGGGCTCATGCCAATGACCGACAAAAGCAACACCCATCACACACACACATATATATATATATATACATACATGTTTTTTCAATATATATATATATATGTTTTTTCTGACGTTTTAACCAAGAAAAAGCAAGCATCAGCTATTGTGCCACACATGTTGTAATGCTTCTATCAAAGAGAGCCAGCATTAACTATTGCGCCGTTAGGCCCTGGTCGACTGCTCCACTTTCCATCGTGACAATTCACATGGAATCTGATGAATACTGGGATAAACCACCTAGTGGGTGCAGGAACTTGGACTTTGTCCCATCCATTCTCAGGAAAGAGAGAGGATTGGTTGAAGGGCAACCCTTTGGTGTCAAATGAGGCGGTCGGGATAAAGGATTTGCTTTTGGGGAAACATAAGGGAATCCTTGGCCGTTCTTTTACGGAGCCTGCGCATCTTTACAATCGCCACCGGCCCCCCTTAGCCCAAGGAAAACCAAACAAATAGAAAGAACATCACTGAACCGCAACGACCAGAAGAACCCGCAAACGCCCAAACATTCGTTCCTGCGAATTTTGACATGGCTTTCTGTCGATCTCCATGCTTTATTTGCTTAAGCCCCCCCCAAAAAAAAGAAAAAAGAAAGAAAAGAACAACAAGTAGTGATAGATCCCCTGTAGAAACACATATTCTTAAGCAAATGGAAGCATGCTAATCTGCAGCCACGTTTTATGCACGTCCTGACTTCTCCTGGCTGCCGCCTCCGCTCGCCTGGCTCATGGACGAGGAAAGCCTCAGTTGTCTGCGGCTCCAGCAAAAACATACGGTGGATAAACAAATATAACTATAATATAACCTAGCACCAGTCACCATTGGGATGAAAAGCAAACCGCTTCGAAAAGCTCTGTGGAGAGCCCAGAGAACATCATTCGAAGTCTTTCCACTAGCCAGTTTTTCAAATCGGGCCAGCCCCTCTGCATGTGCCCTTTCGCTTTCCCTCCGCTCAAGAGGATTCCGTAGGTGTCCCTAACGGACACTGTAGAACAGGGATGACCGCGTTCGGCTCCATTTGTCTAAGCTCACTGAAGCAGAACTTGGGACAACTCGCTATGGTCGTGCTGCTTCGAAAGATCTCCTTGGCCCCACTCTGCACCCTCAGATTCTGCTTCTGGGGTGCCCTTTTTTTCAGGCTACCCTTTGTAGGAAATCAAAGGGAAACTGCCCCAAAAAGGCCCGACAAAAAAGACGCGCCACCTAGAAGTAGTCTACCCGCGGAAGAGTTAAACTGTTGGAAAGGCAAAACGAAGGACAATACGAAAAAGCTAGAAATCTGAGTCTGGCAATGCCCTCGAAATCATTTTGGAGAAGATCCCAGGGTTTGAGTCGTCCCAGCGTTTGAGTTGCCGATCCAGATCGACGAATCGATCCGTGCCGCGGCACGTTGGCTCGTCCTCCAACCGGTCGCCGCGGCTGGACCTTGCAGACTTGACGGATATGTTGTCTCAATATAGGGAGAATCAATTCCCCACACGTTGGTGGTTTTCTCTTGGGTTCCCTTGAAAACCGGTTAACAAAAAGGAGGTGGGGCGAGTGGATTCCCTAAATCGCTTACTACAACCCTTACTGTTTGGTGAGACGGGGTGGATTCCTGGGAGGATTTGCCCAAGTCCAAACTTGTTTACCACCTGGTCTTCCCGAAAAGTATGAAGTCCAAGAACTTGGAAAGTGAGAAAGTGACCCAAGTGACCCGCATCTGGAAAGTAAACACTGGTACTTCATTGGAGTCTTGTCACAACTTTGCGAGGGAATCAAGTTGAGGGCGCCGTTCTCGCAAGGGTGTTTTCTGGGACCTTCCCAAATCACCGTGGAGCACGGTTTCTGGGTCCCGTGAAAACCCCAGATGCGCGCCGTCCCCAGATCGGTCCCGTCAAGGTGCGATGGCGTGGACCCGAGGACTTCCGGAGTCAGGAAGCTCTCCTGAGCCAACGACTCCCACGGGGACCAAAGAGACAAATCGGGTGCGGGTCAGTCGGACGCGTGTGAGAGACTCTGTTCGGACATGTCGTGTGTCACCCAGTTGCTTAACAACGAAAGCTAGTGAGTCCCTGTGCTGTGGGAACCCCTGAAGCTGTGATTTGAGCCCGGTCTTGGAGACTGAGTCCGAGCTATTCTGAGCCGGTGTGTCAACGCAGCTCTCCTCATCGAAGATGGTGTACCTGGCCGGATTTGCTGGGTGGTCAATTGCGGCAGTCTGAGTGTGTTTGCTTTCTTTGTCTGTCTACTGCCATCCCCTTGCGTCTGGATTTGCCATGAAGCTAACAAATGGGTCATGACATGGTCACCCTCCAAGCAAAAGGAACCATGCCCCTACTGGGGGTCTGGCACGAGAAGTGCGCAGGGATCCTTTCAGTCTAAACTCCTGGGTTCATGACCCCATTTTTTCCCAACATGCTCCTCCCCCCAAAAAAGTTATACTCTGGATGAGCGAAACCCTGCATCAGTTCAGAAACCTTGGGAATACTGGGTGTGTGCATTTCGTCCATCCCCGCCATGCGGACCCGCAAATGGGTATGTGTCGGACCCCCAGCATGGTCGCTTTCGTTTTGCCATCGCTTCTTTCATCAACATGAGACTCACTTTCCGGGTTGATTGTCCCAAAAAAGTCCGAACTTTTTGTTTGCCACCAAAATGGCCTAAACCCAAAAAGCATCTAAAGTCCATGAACTCAGGGAGTGAGCAATCGGAAAGTCAACATGGATCATCACTCGTTGCACCTCCCGGAAAAAGAAAGACAAAAAACAAAACACCGTCCACCCTCAGGAAGTGAGAAAAAAGGGTACCCTGACTCAAACCCAACAAGTCGTGAACGGCTGCGCGCGTGCAGGCGCACTCCGCATCCCACTCGGGCTTGCTCACCCATGGCTCTGCTGCATGGGCCTCGTACCCCCCACAACAAAACCTCGACATACCTGGACGCAATAGGGAGAACATGGGTGTGAATACGTTTTGGTGGACATTCGGTGGGGATTCATGCGCTCGTGAGACTTTTGAGAGCAGACCTATGGTCGTTTTGGGGTGCGCAGTTCCGAAAAGTCAGACCTGGGGACGGGTGCAGGTAGCCATGAGCTCTGCGTGCGCTCCCGGCCTTGGGCACAAAGGCCGGGGTGTCTGCTGACAGCTGGGGACGCGCCGACCTCAGCCGGGCGCGTCGCCGGGCGCTTCGCAGCTGGGCAGCGTGAGGCCGCGGCTCAGGCACTCGGGGCACAAACTCCGCCGCGTCCACGCGCATGGCACACCTGACAAAGACTCGGCGTGGATGGCCCCAAAACAGTAACCAAACTTTCTATTTCAAAAACGACCTGCGGTCCCCTTCCAATCTCTTAAGTTATAGTTACCGCACTGGTCTTCCCGAAAAGTTTTTATTGTTAATGAACTCAGGAAGTGAGCAGCGTACAAAACGAGACTCACAAATACCAGCCATCTGAGTCTGCAACACGTGCCAAGAAACAAGCCGGAGCCTGATCAAGCGGCCACATCCCCATGCAAACTCCCACCAAAATTGCTGCAGCTGACGGGCAAGCGACCATCTTGGGCAGTCTCAAGCATGCTTTTGCCAAGCTCTGGGCAAGAGTGCCCTCATGGTGCAACCAGCAGGCAGTAAGTTCGCAACGGCATCTGTTGCAAAGGCTGCGCTTCTGGACAAATCATCATTTGACTTGCTTTCGGGGAGACTGCCGTTTAGCGCCTAATCCATAAACAATACATATACATATACACATATACTATATATACATATATATATATATATATGTATATGTTTTTGTGGAGTTGGTGCCCTCACCTAGGTTCAAAGGGACGCCAAAAGGAGCACGGTCCTTCTCAAGCTGAGGCTTCAGGCAATGGCGTAAGAAAGCGCCCGGTTGGGTTACGGGCTCCGCTGGCTGCTTTTCGACTCGCTTTCGCCGGCTGCGCTCGCCGCTTTCCTGGCAAATAACATCCACTCATGCCCTTTGAGCCTTTGGTAAAGCTAGGGAGTGGGGAAATATGGGGGATGAAAGGAGAATCTGTTTGTTTTGGGGCCCCCCCTTCAGAGGCAAACCCACTTCTAGTTGAGCTTCAAATGAGTTGAGGACCTCGGGCCTCTCAGCCCTCAACCGCATCCCCGCAGCTGCCGAATTCGAGCATCTCTTCCTCGCAGTCAGTGGCCGTTTCAGCAGAAACATGCAGAAATGGAATCCATTCTTGGGATTCGCACTCAAACGCTTGCAACCCCAGAGCCCACTATGCCAAAAGGGCAGCAGGCTGGGACTCTGCGCAACTGGGTCCTCTTTCACATCGAACTGAGGCACCTCATCCTCAGCCTCGCGGTGCAGTTTGGGGCAACTTTGCTGGATCACTGCCCAAATGCGTCCGTTTCCTGGCCTCTGACGCTGGCGATGGGCCTGCAGGGGTTCGAACCAAAGCGCTCGGTCAATGGGGTCAACTGCTTTAAACGCCGTCACGTGGTCATGACAGGTCAACCTTTCGATCACCCTCACCATTACCACCCAGGCTTCCAACTTCTGTTGCCAATTCCGGAACCACATGATCATATTTGTGAATCAAAACAGGTTGACACCAACATGAACACATGTAAGGTTGATTTGGCGCAGCAAGTAGAAAACATTGGCCTTCTTGTGTGTCAAACCAAAAACACCCAACAAACAGCAGGCACCACTGGCAGCAACTTTTGGCAACATGGGCGCGCCGTTTCGGATGGCAGGCACCCTTTTCTGGGTTCAAAGCAAGACCGCCATTTAAAGGGCCTCCCTGTTTTGAACGCAAGCCCAGTTCTCGCTTCCAGCCTTCTGCATCCTCGCCCTCCATCAAGGAGCTGCACCGAAGCTGGACGAACTTGGCTGTCACGGGGCACATCTCCTCAAATGGCAGCGCCCAGGCAGTCAAGACCGCCCCCTTCCGGGCGGCAAGGTTCAAGGCGTAGAGGGACCGGTTGTTCAAGGTCCAGTAAGCCTGAGCAAAATCAATGATACCAGAGCCAGCAAAACAACCGAGCAAAAACAACCCGGAAGTCATCTTAACTCGGGAACCGAAAAGGCAGCATTCAACCCACCACGAAGGACAAAACATGTTGGACACCCAACAGCGTGCCCAGTAAAAACACAGAGGAGAAGCAAACCAAAACCCACCAACACGCCACAGAACACAAAAAGACACGCTCCGCCCCCCCCTGTGTTGCTTTTTGTTGCACATTGACCTATTCACCCACTCCGCTGACATGATGGCTCAAGGCCCTTCAAGTCATTTGTACAGTCATTCGACTCATGGTGCATTGATAAAAAGGCTTGCAGACCGCTTTACAGGATTCACAGTCAACACAAGCCACCAGGGACAATCCATCCTCCAATGCTCCATATTGGCATATTGGACTCTCTCCGGAATAGATCCAGGGACCAAATCAACGACCTCTACTACCACAGGGTACCAGTTCCCTTCTGGGATAGGCACCCCGGCAGTGCGCCTCAATTTGTGGTAGCGGAGCGGGTTTACCGCAGAGATCCAAGGGAAGATGTCATCCGATGGAGAAGGCTTCATGGAAGCCTATTCAAGTATGGCCAAACCTTCAGGCTATACGGAGGAAACACTCAATTTATCGATGACCGCCAAGCAGCCGCCATCGTACGACGGAAAAGTCAGCTGGTTCAGGTATGAAGAACTCGTGGACGACTGGGTGACAATCACTACGGTGGAAGCACCCAAGAGAGGACCTCTGCTCAAGAGCAGACTCACAGGAGATGCCTATATGTACAAGGCAGTCCTCCAAAATTACCGTTTGCAAGATCCTGATGAAGGAGTCAACTACTTCAAGAATACGCTGAAGAAGTACTTTTTGAAAGGTGCGACCAACGTGTATCTGTACAGGCTCCTCAGTTTCTTCAATCATAGAAGGCAGAACCAAGAGTTCCTCATTTTTACCTCAAAATTCGAAATCCTTCTCATGAGATTGAAGGCAGCATGGATGGACTTGATGCCCGTTTTCACGGTACAGTCCCCATCATTTCGACAGTCCGTACAGGACGCAAATGCAAGAACAATTGCTCGACATCAGCAAGCAGCCGGTGTTCGAGCACCGCCTCCAGTCCATCCAACAGTCCTCAGACAGTATATCACGGGAATGCAGGACAGACAGCGGGACGCATTTCCCTTCAGACCGACTTCGAGATCCAGAACGTCCGAGTTCTGGCCTCCCGGTCGTTCACGGCTGCTTGCGCGGCTGCCGGAGGAGCGTGAAGTGCTTTGGCTGCGTGGCAAGCTGCACCTCGGGGATAATCTCATTGCGCAGTTTTTCATTATACAGACTGAATTGTCAGATCAGCAGAGAGAAAGACTGACAAGTGCAATGTCATTGAGAAACATTTCACTAGAGAACTACTCCTATGAGATGCTGAAGACGCACTACCATGAACTCTTCATCACGACCAGGACATCCATTCAAGATCCATCCATCCGACCTCAAGGAGGCAACCGAAGCAACACATTCTTCATCATCGAACAAGGTGAATACGAAGGAGAAGAAGGCTTTTGAAGGATTCATGTCAAACAACGATGAAGAGACATTCTGGGTCCTCGAGGAGAACGATGCGTTCATAGCAAGAAAAGTGTCAGGGCGGAATTTCAGATTCAAGAAGAGAAAAGGAAAAGGAAAATCCGGAAACAAAAAGGGCAGTCACCAACGAGGTGGCTTTAAACCCTTCAGAAAAAGCGGTTCTGGCGGGAAGGCCAATATGGTCAATGAGAACTATGATCCCTACGACCAGGCATATTGGGGAAAAGGCAAAGGAAAGAAGGGAAAGAAAGGAACATCAAAATTCCAATATCCCTATGATGGAAACAAGGGTTATCCACCCCCTGAGAATGGCAAAGGAAAAGGCGGACATGACAAAGCAAAATCCAAGACGTTCGCAGCCATCGCAGAGAAGACGGAGGAGCAGCCCGCCATCCAGCAGACTGCGCCATCCACAGAGCCTACCTATGCCGGTTGGACAGACCAAGATTGGGATCAATCATGGACATGGAATGAACAAGCGCTAATGGCATTCCATGACGCATATGAGCATCATGAGAAAGAGGCCATCCACGGGAAGCTGATCCAATCAGATGCAATTTCAGAACACAATTTGTCCGTCACAACAAATCACAGCCTTTTGGCAACAAAGCTGATGGCGCCTGTCCCGACCTATGCGATCCTGGACAACGGATGTACCAGATCCATGGGCAGCTGGCATGCAATCCAGCGTTTTACTCAGGCCATCGAACCCATGAAGGACATCATCTCCTATCAGTACATCCCGGTCGAGACCAAGTTCACTTTTGCAAGCGGAGAGACCGCCAGGGTAAATTGGACCCTGCATCTTCGATATCACACAACTCCTCCATGCAGTACCAACACCGATGTTCTTGAACAAGGAACTGTACCGATCCTCCTCAGCATCAGTCAGATGCGGAACCTCTACATGACCATCGAGCACACACCTCAATGTGACAAGATCACATGCAAGGCTTTTGGCATGAACCGTCAAGCAGTTCCGGTATCGGTACAGGACATGCACTCGTCGATCTCGCTGGAGTTGCAAGAGTGAAGGCACATGGAGAAATTGCTCATAAGGGCCTCACCAACTACGTCTACGATGATGACAACAGCTTCAAGTTTCCCTCCGGGGATATCTCCAAGAGTGAAACTGTTTGTGCAGCAAAATCATCCGAGACGAAGGAGGACCTAGCAACTCCTAAAATCATTGGGTCTCCGAAGCAGGACCATTGGATCCTTGACAAGAAGAACAAGCAGCTCATCCGTGTTCACATCACGCCTCGAAAGGCACTGTTCACACTAAATGGAGCCAAGGAATGTCCAATCAATCCTGATAACATTAGCCGAGAGCGTACTACGGAAATCATTGATGCATTCGAAGGTGGAGATCCAGACATCCTAGAAGACAATTGGAGACTTACATCCCAGGCAAACAACCAATGATTAAGCTGTGGATAGGTAAGACCATTTTCACCTTCGCGGACAATTCGCTTAAGGACGAAGAAGCAGGCTCAGGATCGGCAGCAGACAGGATCATCGACAAGAAGGGCCGGTCGACCATTGAGCCAGATCCTTTCGCACCATCCTCAGAAGAACCAACAACGCTTCCGCTTGCACTAGGCAGAATCCACAAGCGATTGTCAAATCCCGAAGAGTTGAAGAAGCTCCACCTCCAGCATCATCACATGACAACAGATCAATTTCGATTTAGAACTCGCTCACTTCATTTGCCGAAATCAACATTCGATCTATTTGACAAAATCAGAAGTGAATGTGAAGTTTGCCAAGCGGCAAAACATGCACCATCACGAAGCAAGACGAGCGGACTTCGAGCGGACACCTTTGGCGACATGACATTCATTGATCACTGTCAAGTTCCTCTTGGAACAGGAGAACATATCATTGTTTTTGTCATCCTGGATGGAGCAACAACATTGCTCACTGCAGAGGTAGTGACAACTACACAAGGAGTCGAGAACATCACTGTCCTCAGGAACTATTTTGACCAGTACCACTTGCAGCCCAAATCAGTTGTCGCAGATCAAGCCTTCATGACAGAAACATGGGAACATTTTTATCAGTCCCTTGACATAACACCGATATCCTTGGGACCGAACACACCATGGCCAAATCGAGCTGAAGCAGCAGTTCGACTCCTGAAGGCACAACTCAAGATCATGCTAAGTTCCATCAAGGCAGGCACAGCACCTGCAACACTGAAGAAAGTGACATATAGACAGCTGGTGAAGGCAGCTGCAACTGTCAGGAATCAGACTGTCAGGCAGCTGTCCAAGCAAGCATTCCAAGAAGCACGTCAATCAGAAGACATCCGACGAGACCTTGCTCAAAATCTCCGAATGAGTTCTAAGCCTCTTCAGGTGAAGGACAAGGTATTTTACTGGCAGGAAGACAAATCCAAGATCCGTTCCGATGGAAGCAAGGGAGGAATATGGCTAAAAGGAAAAGTCATTTCCATTGAAGGAGCAATGGTAGGACTTGATCTTGGGACTCGACTCATCAAGGTTAACGTGATGAAGGTCAGAAAGGATGAAACCATCCTTCCGGGGAAACCTGGAATTGATCTTCTATCGCCAGAAGAGCGAGAATCCTTGCAGAAGGAGCAAACCGGCTCCTCTGCCGACACCAAGAAGAAGGAGTTATCCGCACCAGCTCCTAAGCCAAAATCCCCATTGCCAATACGCATCGCGGGTAAGACAACTCCCAAGCCTGCAGTACCTCATCCGGCAGAGAACATGTTCGTCGAGGACCTCGCATCCGTTCCTGAACAAGCACACTGGAATTGTGTACGTAAAGGGAAGATCCACGTTCTCGAGATCTTTGCAGGAAGTGCCAGATTCAGTCAGTGCTGTGCACTCTCAGGTGTTAAGGTTGGGACTCCCGTAGACATCCGCACCAGATTCGACGTAATGACATCCAAGGGACGACACATGGTCATGGAGATCATCAGGGAGCAAGCACCTGATGTAATCCTCATGGCACCGGTCTGTGGACCGTGGTCAAACATGCAGAACATCCAACAAGACCAACAAAGAGTCTGGGAGAAGAGGAAACGCTATCTTATCATGGTTGAGTTTCTGGCATCCATTGCGAGATATCAGCTGAAGCACGGAAGATATTTCATCATTGAAAATCCTCAGACATCCAAGATATGGTATCTGAATTGTATGCAGCAACTAACTGTTTTCAGATCCATCCGTGACCTGGGGAGATCCATTTCTGTGCATACGGACTGAAAGATCCTGAATCCGGGCTCAGAAGTCTCAAGCCCACGAGCTTGATGCACTGCTTACCGGCCGAGGTAATGAGACCGATCTTCAGAAGGTGTAAGAATTCTACCAGCTCAGTCAAACACGAACATCAACCCCTTGAGGCACAGGTGTATCCTTACCAGTTCTGTCAGGAT